TAGAGCTGATTTCTCCAGCAAAAAGGACAAGGGGAATTCTTAATACAGGTCTCAAAATTATTAATCAATTAGATGCAGAGAAAACATTTCCACTCGTGAAGGAAATTCCAAAACTAGGATTTATAAATTGGGAATAAAACAGGAGTTCTTTGAAGGTTCAACCTGTTATGTCAACTCTGCTTCTCCCCCACAGGTGCTAACAAACCTGATAAGTATTTTTAGCATTTTCTGTTTTTATTTCAGATTTCCTGAGTCCTTTGCTCCAATATTAGTTCATAAGCATAAGGTAGTCACTAATAAACCAAATAAAGAATTTAGGAGAAGCCATTTTACTGAAAACAGTTGATGTTCAACTTGCCGCTAAATCAAAATAAATAAAATTTGCACAGAAAACTATATGAAGCAGAAAGCAGTAGAAAGATCATTAGATGGAGTTAGATGTTTGGTAGGAAGTAGAGCAAAAACATCATTGAGGACTAGTTTATGTGCTGTAAATTCTATATTTAAACCACAGAAAGAATTATAATCCCTTAACAAGCTGTCAAATGCTGAGCAGAAGTTCTTCAGAAAGCACTACTATGCATTCCAATTTCATAATTGAATGAACTCTGCACAAGTGCATTAACAATCTTTTGGATGTTCTAAGATAAACACAAAGCAAACAACATTCCAACAGTCATCAATGTTTGAAGCCGGTTACTGACTCCAAGACCAATCTTATAGAATTCACTCAAAATGAAACGCAAACAATTGACATTTTGGAGAAAGATGCTTTTAAGCGTTCTTATTACCTTGCTCGTGTGGAACTGTAATATGCAGTTTTACAACAACGTACATCATCGGACAACTAAGTCAAATAGGAACATGAACTAGTGGAAGAATGTTCATCTGTAGCTGACACATTTTGTGAGTGAAAGATACAGTGTGGGCCTCATCCTGCTCCTCTGGAACAAGCGTGAATTATAACTATTCTACATGACAGAAATGCAAGAATTACAAATAAGGTGCAAGCGCATAAAGGAACTCTCAAAAATAAGAAAGTATATTTTTCCCAGAAATTAGTTATTTAAGGAATTAAGGATATTGAGATGCTGAACATTCTGCGCGTGAGGATATTTGCACCAGTGTCGAAAGAGATAGTAATTTGGAATTTTGGGAATGAACATGCATATTATGTCAAGAAACAGTCCAGATCCTTGAATCCTCTCCCATAATATTTGGTTCTCCAACTGTGACATCTTGAAAAGACCAGTCCCCTTTTGCCTCAAAGGTTACACTGTCTTCAGCTGTTTTAGACTTATTCTTTACTCTTTATTCTAGCTAAACTCACGACTTCTCATTCTGCTCTTAAAAACTTATTTGACTAATCATTTGGTCATTCTTCCCAACACTCAGTCCTTTTATTTATTTTCTCTTTACCCCTCTGCAAGTGCTTTGGGATATTTCTTACACGAAAAGCCCCATGTAAATCATCCTTTTGTCAGCATAAAAGTAATGAGGAGGTATCTAACCATGGCATGCATGGTAACATAACTAATCGGAAAACCATTCATAACACTAAAAACATTTCAATGCAGTTACTGCAAGTTGACACGAAGGCCATTAATGATACTGCATTTATGCAGACCACCACTACATTCCTTTCTCTTGATCATGCTCGTCTGCTGTACAGATAAAAGACAGCAAGTTTATAGTGAAATAAATAAAACAAACTGCAAAGATCTACATTCCGAGTTATATATATATATAAAAATGGAAGTTTGACATTGGGTGGTTATGCATTACTCTCTCCTCTTGTCATCCAGAACAAATTATTACATAGATAGGGAACATGATGTACCATATGTACATTTACGACATAATCAGTCAATTTAATCTTCAAGAATGTTTGTCTGAATCATCAGCAGGCTCACCTATCTTGATGGAATGAATAGAATTTCCTAAGCTTTAGTCTGGACAAGCATAATGGAAACATTTCTCTTTGGCCGAAATTAAAATGTATAAAACTAAGCAATGCACTAGATTCTCAACTTACTGGACAAAGTGAAAACCCAAACAAGGATTCAACAAGCTTCATTTGGCCCGTATATTACCAACAATGGCAGAGATTTCTGTGCTCACTGTAATTTTTTTTAAATCAACTCATAGTATATGAAATAACTTGAGTAGAGGATGATATAACTCCTGGTTTGCACAAATATAATCAGAATTATTTAATAATTTAAATTGAGGAGACTAAAAACTAGTGAAGCAGGAAGTTAGGGTTAAAAATATTGAACTAGGTAGATTAAATGTATGACTTAATTTAAAGGAGGATGACTGTAGTAATGTTATTAAGGTATCGGCAAATTATTTGTTATGGTAATATTGATGCTACATATTTATAAAAAATACTTCCACATTGTTTTTTGTCCCATATTCTTTCCACTATATCCTATTCTAAATTAAAAGCTTTAGTTTGATTGCATTGCAAGTCCAATCTGATAGCACAAGATTAATCTAAAATGTGGCTTTTTATAAACTGGTGTTTTCCTAACAATCTAATTTTGTTAAAATAAAGTTTTACATCTGTGCGATCATTCTGTCTTCAATGTTTTATTCTTTTCATCACCTTTTGTTGTCATACTTTCATGTCAAATTTATATTCAATAATCTCGATGCTACATTTAAAATTGTAGCTAGCTTTCATTCTGTTAGTGCACAATCAAACCATTAGGTGACAATACAGCACTCTACAAACTGAAATGCGCAGCTTTCATGTTTTGGAGTGTTAAATGGCCTCTACTCTAATATGGTAAGCAGGACACATTCATTTTGAGTCCAAGTGCATTATATGCCACAAATCAATAACTAGGGCAACACCAGAATCGGGCTATGGACTCCCTGTATATCTTCGAAGTATTTAACACCTGGTTAATGCTCTCCTCACAAGTTCCCCCAAACATGGAGAGTAGACAGCTAACTGCATTCAGGAAAACTTCATCTGCACAGAACCTAGTGTGAAGTTTACATTTGCTAATCACTAGTTAAGGATAGGTGAAATAATTAGTGACTTTGTTTTTGGCATGTCATAAACACATGACATGAATAAACCTTGTGAAATTTGGTTCCTGTTTGCCTATCATTTGTTTTGAAAAGAATGCGACAAGTCATAATTGAGGACATAAACACAGAAGATGTTAATAGCTCAGGCGAGCACAGGAAAAAGAGAAGCTAGGAATTCAACATCCTAAACATGAATAAAATATTATAATACAAATCAAATTTCACTTATTCAGTTTTAAAATCAGTAATGACACAGCATTGTATGACCTTTTATGATCAAAATACAGTGCATTCTCGAACTAATCACTAACAATACTGAAATAAATCTACTAGTAATTATACTAATACACTAGAGTAAAAATCTTACTTCTGCCAGTCACTGTGTAGATCACAGCTGTGCCGTGTTATTGCAATATCTGAATGTCATAATTTTAGGACAATGGGGATAAAAACATGGGCTTGACTTACTATTTATGGGACATGATATGTAAATTGTTTGTGTGTGATGAGTCTTTCTACAGGACAGCAGAGGATTTTGTTTCTTTTGCTTATGCTTGAATTCTTACAGAAGAGGATATTTATATATACTCTCCATCAAGCCTCACATTTCTGGGAAATCACTGGTTCAGACTTGCATATCCGACCCTCAGCTTCAGAAGTTGGATATCCTTAAAGAATATCTTTCAGAGGTGCAATTCATATTAGTGCCATGATTGATAGCAATGTGTCCTAAATTAAATGCACTTACATTTCCCTTGATGTTAATGTTGATAGATTGCTCACGATACTCAAAACACATCTCATTCATAGCCTGGTAAAAGTCATCTAGGTGACTGCATTGACTGGGTAATGACTACTTTCATGCAACTCGAGTTTGGAATGGAAGTGGTCCTCCACCCAAAATTTAAGTCATGTCGCACTGTACGACTCCAATGTTTATGCATAAATTTTCTCATTTTTCTTTCTCAAGTCTTTCTGATTAATTGCTTTTCTAATAGAATTACAAATTTCCCTGTAATGGAAAGCCAAATATTCAGGATAGACTTGAACCCTCCAAGTCAACTATTCAAAAACCAATTATTTACATGCGTGAGTGAAATTAAACTACAGGAGGTCATTATTAATATCAAGCATTCTGATATTGATGGTGACTTTCTATAATTTAAAAGCAGCTGACTATGCTGAAGAAGTAGGCAAATACTCATCCTTTAACAAATTCAGTGACAAGTGAACAGCTAAAAAACTGTTTTGGCTTAGGAGCTGAAATCTGTTTCTTTACCTGTGATCTCTTGTGGATGCAAAGGTAGTGTCACTTCCTCTGAGTTGGGAAGCCCAGGTTCAAGTCACACGTGCTCCAGCTGTGTGTAATAGCAGCTCTGAGCAGGTCGATATAGAAAATATTTGTTCCTTTACCTATCAGCTTATGTGGTATAGTGGCTATGCCCCCACCTCTGGACCAGAAGGCCCAGGTTCAAATCCTACTGGCTCCAGAGGTATGTAATAACACCTCTGACAGATGGATTTGAAAATATCTGTTCTTTTATCTGTCAATACACTACACTGTGAGTGAATACATATAAATTATCGCAAAAATACTGTGACTTCTTTTAATAAACTGCAGTCCTCACAGAAAGGGATCATATGCATGTAAACTGTTCCAACTAAATAGGACATAGTAAAACACCAGGGTAGTGTAATCTTAAGAGCAATATTTCAGTAAAACCGTGACTATTCAATTATCATGACATACATTAACTTGCAGCACACCAGTTCAGAACTATGGCACTTCTTTCCATTGCAACATTTATTGTTTAGTTACAAGGTAGTTTTATTTGAAAACAATTATGATTTGATCCTTAATAATATTAGTGTAATATATACATTAGGATTGGTTTATTTAAAAACATTTTGTTCAAGAACCAACCTGCATTTGTGAAAGGTTATAAGGCACTCACCATGGCGGATAGATGTGAACAGTATCACCTGCACAGATCCCAAGGGGTAATGCTGTTTCTCCTGTGAATAAAACCTTGAGTGGTGCTTTAATGGTGCATCCATCATTTTCATTAGCATAGTCTGTAGAGGTTCCCCTCAATGGCTGACACAAAGCTACAAACATTGAACATTCTTCATGCAAATCCAAAACTTTCACCATCAAAATATCATCTTTCCGACCTGCAACAAGATTGACAAGGATACTCATTATTCTGATTTTAGAAATTAAACTTTAGGCAGGCAGCTAGCTTCTACTAGGTATTACATATTTTATCCCTTGCTTTATCTGCTTGGCCCAGCACTTCTGCTGCTGAGGCAGTTATTATATAATCTGATTTCTGTTAACCAATCTCAAATTTTGAATTCTTGTTATCTTTTGCATGTAACAGCAATTCCTAACTTCATTCTTGAAGGGTCTAGGTTTTACCTCCAGGCTCAGATTCCTCAACGGGTGGAAACAGTTTCTATCTTCCTTACCTAATTCCCATGAACATAATAAATATTGACCAAATCGCACTATTTTTCTAAATTTCAAGGAGACACGTGGATTCACTTGTGGTAATTTAATCCTCAGAGGCCAGGCACTATTCTTTTAAATCTAGCCTGTATTTCTTCCAATATATACTCCCTAAGCAGGACAGCTTGCAGTATTTGGCATTAGTCTATCCAGGTCCTTTTATTGCTGTCGCATGACTACTTACATCTTATATTCAAATATCAAAGCTAGCATTCCATTAGCTTCTTTTCAATGTTGTTTTGGACCTGTTCATGATGTTTTGACGATTTATGTACATACATACCAAAAATTCTTTGAGCCCCCAGTGCTCCTAGATTTTCACCATTTGGAAAGTACTCTTTCCAAGATCATTTTCCAATTTAATGGTTTCATACACACTACATACAATGCCACTTATCATTTTGACAACAGCAAATCTGAATATGTACTCTCCATTCTGTCACCAAAGTTATTCATGAGTACAATCAATAGTTGAGGACCCATCACTGATCCGTGTGGGATACAGTTAGTCAGACACTGCCAATTAGAGCACAGGTCCATGATCACTGCACTGTATCTCCAGCTGCTCAGTCCAAGTCCATAATTTTCCCCCAATTCCCAGACCTTCAACTGTATCTAACAGCTCCTTGTGAGTTATGCTTTCTGGAAGTTCATATAAAAAATACTGAAAAATATTCCCCTCACTGGTAGTTTAGTTACCTCTTCAATAAAAAAAATTAGTATTTCAGTTCTGAAGAAGGGTCACTGGACCTGAAATGTTAACTCTGATTTCTCTCCAAAGATGCTGCCAGACCTGCTGACATTTTCCAGCAATTTCTGTTTTTGTTTCTGATTTCCAGCACCCACAGTTCTTTTGATTTTTAATTTACCCAAACAAAAATATTAGGCATGACCTATATATTATAAATAAATCCAGGCTGAGTCCTTTTGATCAAATGGAAACTTTTAAAGTGTTCAGTGACTCAATTCTGAACTACAGACCCTGACAATAGATTAACTGGTCTATTGAACCATAGTTTCCTTCTCTCATCTTTCTTAAACAGTGGGTGTCATGCATTATTTGCCTACCCAAAAGCAAAGCTTCATCCTCACCCACTAAGGATTGAGCGATACATAGAAATATATAGAGAGAGATTATTATATATATGAAATAAATATATATATAATAGAGAGACAGAGTGAGAGAGAGAGAGTGCACACGAGAGAGAGAGAGTGTGAGGCGGGGGGAACTGGTGAAACAGAATGGCTGGTAGTTTTCTGATGTGGGATTCGCTTGCAAGTGAGGGACAGAAGTCCCATCTCCAATCAATTAATGCTCACTCAGCTGTTATATCACTACAGGCAAGCCTTTACCAGCAGCAATGCACACGCTGGTAAAAACATACGAATTATGAGGTGTAGGTCACTTGGCCCCCTTGAGCCTACTCCATCATTCAATATGATCATGGCTGACCGGATCATTCCACATTCTCACCTACCCCCTTGCTATCTACATCTGCCTTAAAAACATTTTCAGGCACTGCTGTCACCACCTTTTGAGGAAGAGCATTCCAATGATTCACAACTGGAGGAAAAAGCACCCTCAATTTGATCTTAAATGGGAGACGTTATTTTTCAATTGTGTTACCTAGCTCTAGAATCTCTCCAGAGGAAATCTTCTTTCCAGGCCCTGCCAAGATCACCAAGGATGCATGCTTCAGTCAAATTGCCTTTTATTCTTCCGAACGTCAACAAATACAAGCCTAGCCTGACCAACATGTTCACGCAAAACAAGCCACTCAACTCATGTATTTGGCTGGCAAACCTTCTCTGAAATGCTTCCAATGATTTGACATCCTTCCTTAGATAAGGCGGTCAATTCCAAACAGTACTCCAGATGTGGTCTTAATGTTCTACATAACTACCTCATTTTTGTATTCAGCTCCCCTTGCAACAAATGAATAACATTTTATTAGCTTTCCTCATTGTTTACTGTACCTCATGTGCCAGGTGCATAATTCATACATCCTCTGCATGTTAGAGTGGTGCAATTTCCCATCATTTGGAGATATGCCTTTTTTATTCTTCCTGCCAAAATAGATAATTCCACTTTTTCCCATGTTCTCTGCCAGATTTGCCAGATCTTTACCAGTTACTCATCTACCTCTATATTCCTTTGTAGCCTCTATGTCCTCTTCACAACTTATTTTGCTACCTATCATTTTGCCATTAGCAGATTTAGCATCTGCACCTTTCACTCCTGTATCCAAGTTATTAATATAAATTGTAAAACGTTGAGGCTCCAGCACTGATCTCCGTATCATACTACTCAGTACATCTTGCCACCAGAAAATGGTCCATTTATACCGACTCTCTGTTTCCCGTTAGCCAGATAATTATCTATACATGCTATAATGTTATCCCCTAACCATGAGTTTTTATTTTCCACAATAATCTTTGATGTGGCAACTATGTTCTGAAAAGTGAAGTACAGCACATCCATTTGCTCACCTTTATTCTTGGATTACTTTGGGACCTGGCTGGAGCAATTACACTTCGTGCAATAACATGCCCATCTTGGAGGCATTGCTGCTTCTGGGAAAAGACTCGGTCTGTTTAACAGGAGGCATTCCAAAATATATGGAAGTTAAAGCACGGCATTGCAGCAATAGCTGCCTGGGTCACCCACCAAGTGATTTCCCTGACTTGGCAATGGCCACAATCTTGGATTGATACCAGATGTTTGGAATTGTGCTTCCATTGTGAATGTTGGTAAACACCTTTGCTAGTCACTTTCTTCCTGAAAAATTAATAGTTTTCAGAAATCGAGTCTATCCCTTTGACTCATGCTGCTTCGCCTGATTGGTTGCTGTCCACATCCCCATATAAAGATATGATAGGTCTGTCTGCTCTAGGGCAGTCTTGAGAGTCTGGCATCAGGACTGTTTTTGCTATCTGCTTCTAATCCCCACTAGCAGATAACTTTAAGCTTAATAGGAGTTGTGAAACATCAGCATTGATTCTGGGCTGTTGCTGTGATTTTTACTTGACTGGTCCCAGGCAGCAAATGAGTTCCCCCACCATTTGGCCCAAACACATGAAGTCAATCTTCTCTGCTGTTTTTCACCATTTTATGAGTGACCTTTCATCAAGTGATTTGAGGAGTGCTGTTGAGGAGAGAACGTTCATTGTGACTGCATACATGACAGATTTTTTAAAAATTCATTTTGTGGGATGTGGGCGTCACTGTCTGGCCTGCATTTATTGCTCGTCCCTAGTTGCTCTTGAGAAAGTGGTGGTGAGCTGCCTTCTTAAACCGCTGTGGGTTGACCCATGATGCCATTATGGAAGGAATTCCAGGATTTTTGACCCAGCCACAGTGAAGGAATGGTGATATATTTCCAAGTCAGGATGGTGTGTGGCTTGGAGGGGAACTTGAAGGTGGTGGTGTTCCCATATATCTGCTGCCTTTGTCCTTTTAGATGGAAGTGGCCGTTGGTTACAAAGGTGCTGTCTGAGGATCTTTAGTGAATTTCAGCAGTGCATCTTGTAGATAGTTCACACTACTACTGCTGAGTATCACTGATAGAGACAATGGATGCTTGTGGATGTAGGGCCAATCAAGTGGGCTGGTTTGTCCTTGATGGTGTCAAGCTTCTTGAATATTTTTGGGGCTGCACTCATCCAGGCAAGTGGGGACTCCCGACTTGCGTCTTGTAGATGTTGGACCGAGTTTGGGCAGTCAATAGGTGAGTTAGTCGCTGCAGTATTCCTAGCCTTGAACCTGTTCTTATAGCCACTGTAATTATATGGTGGATCCAGCTGATTTTCTGGTCAATGATAACTGCCAGAATGTTGACAGTGGGGGGATTCAGTGATGGTAACACCACTGAAAGTCAAGGGGCAACAGTGAGATTGTCTCTTATTGGTGATTGTCATAGCCTGGCGTTTGTGTGGCATGCATGTTACTTGCCACTTGTCAGACCAAGCCTGGATACTATACAGATCTTGTTATATTTGAACATGGACTGCTTCAGTAACTGAGAAAAGTCACGTACATTGTGCAATCATCAGTGAACATCCCCACTTCTGACCTTATGATCGAGGGAAGGTCTGGTCTATCTGTGGCGTGGCAGGTCCCGGCCTGGTCTCTCAGCAGTATATCAGATGGTCTCTCAGCTTGGCGTGAGTGTATCCTGCCTAGGCATGTTCCCAAGGCACCAGGAGAGACCAGAGAGGCGGCTATTTCAGCAGCAGCGATGGTATCTCCCGCAACGGCATCGAGAACAGACAGCAGAGCGAGATAAGCAGAAGACTCGTCAAGACTGTTGAATTTTTAATTTATTCCTTTGTTTTCCTAGTTTAAACTGTAAAAGACTTTAATGTAAACTATTACCTATTTCTTCATTTTTCTACTATTTTATGAAATAATGGTCAACTTTTAACCTCTCGTTTCTCTTACTACTTTGTATCAAAGTCTTTTTTATAGGTGACATTATACACTTTTCACTGTACTCCTGTACTTAAGTATATGTGACAATAAAATCTAAAATCTATTGTCGACATCTTTCATCATTTTACTGATGATCGAGAGTAGATTGATGGGGCAGTAACTGGCCAGATTGGATTTGTCCTGTTTTTTTATGTACAAGACACACTTGGGCAATTTTCCACACTGTCGGGT